ATTGTAAATAGTTTCTCATTACCTCTTTCGACGTCTCTTTTCACTCAAAAACTGTGAATAAATAAACCAAACTCTCTCAACCCAAGGGAAATAAGGAATTCCAAACATAATTGAAAAAGTCCAAGATCTACATAACAGCACCCAAAAACGCTGACCGCCGTTAGAGGCTCGGCACAAAAAGGTCACAATAGCTAATAACACTGGCTTTGTCGCATGAATAATAACAGGCACACGCGCGCGCCCGGCTCCCTTATTAACTTCGTGAGCGACAAAGAAGAAGAAGAATGTAATGTAATCTGCGCTCAGCAGAGCTTGTCGGGCCACCTGTGCTGAAGGATAGCGTTACATGGGCTATCGTGACACAGGAGCATGACGTGACACTTGACACAACCCCTAGAATGACACAGCCTCTAGAGGAAACCCCCTATGTTGTCCATCTGTAGACACCCTTAAGTTGTCTTCATCAGGAAACACAAAACCTAGCAACCACCTATTGAGAAACAACTCCTAGAATGGTCTGCGTCCGGAAAACATCCGACGAAAAATATCCTACGTGTACACTTTTTTTACAAATCTGAGGTGTTGATTAATCCCAACGAATAAAAAGATTCTCCGACTTTCTAATTCATGGCCCAGAGTAAATTCCTCATCAAAAAAAAAAAAAAAAAAAAAAAAAAATGGAAAGAGATCTTGGCAATCCTGAGTTTAAGAGCTATCTCTTCAGAAACTTCATCATATAAATTTTTGTTATTACTCATCATGTAGTTCCAAAAATCATCAATACAATTATTCAATACATACTATAATGTTCTTAAAATCTTCCATGCTGATCATAATGCTCTTGCTTTCTTAAAAGAGATATTATTGAGTCTGGGTATTCAATAGCCTCCATACTACAGAAGCATTTAACCGATCATTCATAATTTCATCCTTAAATTCTAAAAATTCCGAACTGTTCTTAAAAGCTGGCTTCCTTCAAGGATGCCTTATAAAGATCAGAGTTTCAAGAGCTTTCATACTTGACTAAAGAGCTAAACCAATGCTACTTCACTCCATCCTTAAATTCTTCGTGAAATCTGCCATACTGCTCATGAAATCTCCTTGACATCGGAAAGCTACCGAAGTCTTTTACTCATCTGCAAACTCATTTAAAATGTCTCAACCTATAAAACCTTTCTTATCTGGGTTTGAACATTGAACCTTTCAATGTTCCCAGCCAACCCCAACTCTTGGGTCAAGAGCGCTGCCAAAGGTGAGTGAAAGCTAGGTCCAAGGTAGGTCGGCCCTGCCACGACCGACAACTACGTAACAAGGCCGATACAACCGCTGTTTTGCAACAAGTCGTGAACACCCTGTAGTGGTAACTGATAACAATTAATCTCTCCACTGTAACTGACGGCTGTGTTGAAACGATCGTGTACTTTTCTCCCTTTGTAGTGAGAGCAGATGGATTTGTCTGATTGGATTGGAGTTGCATAAGTTCATTGTGGTTGGAGACAATATTGTGGAAGGAAGATGTGAGAATCGCAGTTATCTATAACAACTTTATGTTAATACTTAATAACCAACTTTGTAATCAATTCTAGATAGACTTTCCACACCATTCGAATGAATTAAATCAGATTTAGAACCCGGAATCATTGACTATGCATCTAACTTTTTGGACATTTAATGTATTTCAGTCGGATACCAAAGGCATAAATACATTGGACACTGGCCTATGGTTCCCTTAACAGAAGGTAGAACTTGGTACCTACTGCAGAGTTGTAGGACTGAAGTGATTCTTACTAAAAAGTCGTCGTTTCTGTGGCTGTGTCAGTCAAAATCCTACAGCGATTGGCATGACATAATCATTCTATCTATATTCTCCACCATCCAATGCCTGAATGATAAGATAAATAATCTATTCTATAATTTCTATATTTTTCCTCGCATATACTACATCAAAAACTCACTTTGATGCAGTTATTATTAGTACATGTCTTCTGCTTGGTTCTAAACTTTTAGTCTAACTTATTCCAATAGAGTTAGATGTTTGTTTGTGATGTCATCATAAATACCTATCGAAGTCAACTTAAAACCTGATGCGATCCCGTTTCTCTTGCACCCTATATAGATGTTTCCTTCTGGACAGTGTCTCTACTATAGTCACATAATCTATTCCATTTACCAGTTTAAACACTGGAAGATCTTTATTACACCAACCCTCAATCACAGACCACCCTCCGGTCCAATCCACCCTAATGCGATGTTTTCCACTCGACTAGTACCTCACTCCGGTTCGCCATGACGCCAGTCTAGACCGCAAGTCAATTTCAGTTAATCTGCCGTCGTCGTGACTCTCTTGATGACGGAAGTTTCTATGACATTTCGTTTCCAACCTGCAATTATAGTAAATTACCTCTCAAACTATTCGACAGTTTTGCATTAATTTTCTCCTTCACTTTCACGATTTGCGCCATCTTGACTTGCGACCCGCAAACCTCTGGTGGCTTCAGAACCGCAGTGTGTATATTTGTAGGAAGTGATGTAATTCTTCCGCGGTAACCGTTCATCTGTAAATGCATCCAACGGTAATATTTGCAATTTAATCTGTTAAAGTGTTTATGCTCATTTTGTGGTACCAGTCTTCTCGGATGATATAATCAACAGAAAGATTGCCCTTTTGAAATCTAACTTTTCCCTTCTTACAAATATCATATAGGAATTTTAATTTAAGTAAAATTATAGTTGTATCCTCTACATTTTGCGAAAGAAAGTCAATCATTATACATTTTTTAGAGTGGGTAATTTACACATAATTAATGTTACCGTACTTCACTTCACAAAAGGAGGTTCTTTAATTAGAATATGTGGGATAAGCTTATTTCCAAACACCAATATAAACCAATCCTTGCCGAAAAAATAGGAACTACTTCGGATGGCAACCGTGTTCCTGATATACTAGTATTAATTTGCTTGGTATTCCTATCTCTAGAGATCTACAACTAATCTTGAACCACTTTCAGACTTGATCTGAACAGAAGGCCAGAAGATTTAGTGGCTCTTGAACACGTGGGTTTGCTCCAACGCCTCTAGATGTTGGCCTTGATTTATCCAGCCCTCTTGTCATGCTAGTCGCCATTTGTTACAAATGATTATTCCACCTTCTTCTTTTTCTCGTGGACTACAAGGTTCACTTGACAATGAACGCCTACGAGGTTGAATAACATAATCTGATGCAGAACAGTGTCACGGGGTTGGTGAGTTGTCAAAGTCTCAAAGTTTTTGGCTAGAAGATTTGATGGAGATTTTATTTTAATTCCCTTTATAAAATTATTTAATTTGTTATATTTTGCCTATTGACTAGCTTCACAACAATTCATGAGGCCGCGTTACACTTTTCAACAGTAGATCATGTGAAACAGTTATGTTTGTGCAAACCAAACTCTCATATGTTGTGTTAACCCCACATTCACAATCAACAAATCACTCAAAATGACCACACGAGTTCGTGGAGAGTAGATGTTCTGTTATCTAAAAAATAGACAAAACAGGACTCAACCTGTAAATTAAGAGCTCACCACAACCACGTGATTCTACTTGGTCAGCTGGTTTCTGCCGATCAGCTGATTCGGACAGCCTCTCATTACCACCTGATGTGTTTGATTGTTGAACAGCTGTTTACGCTCGGTTAGGCCCGCGATGGCGTGAGGCCAGACCGCAGTTCCTTGTGGTTCCACACCTTGATAGGTTGATTGCTGGTTCCCCGGTCTTTAACACCCGATCGCGAACCACTTCTTGTTTACTTTGTGTACTGATTGAGTTTTAATGAGGCGCTTACGCGACCGTTGTTATTGATCGTAGTTGGTGTCAATGTCTCTTCAATCTCTCGAATAAGGAAAACATTCAAACAAACTAGTGTATCAACCAAACACTGCTTAATGATGAAAGTAGGAAGACATCATTATTGATAACGCTCAAATAACTAACAAATTGTGGAAAACCATATTGAAGATGTTTAAACTTTACGTAAGTACTTTTTCCTTTTGGAGGTCTTAAAATCTTGTACATACTAGATTTTGATGAGAGTGTAAACGTTGCAGTCAAATTTCAGCATGGGTTGAAACCCTGTTCAACTGCACCTGCCTAATAAACACAGTGACTGCAGCTGAAGAAAATTAGCAGGATTTACGCTAATAGGGGCAATCTTGCAACTTTGTCGAACTGCACCGCTTTCTACTTGAGTTTTTTACCCACGGAATTTGGCAACGTCAAATCACTTCTCGCGAACCAGTTCTGCACGTGCTGTTCCATCCCCTCTCCGCTCGCGTATGGTAATTGTCGGCTGGAGTCAAATCTGACACGGTAAAATGCTGCACCTACCAGATAGAAAGCGATCACAGCACCAGGAGAGCTTTGTTGGAGAAAGTGGACCGGATAACGGCCGAACCTTCAGATGTTGGGGTCACCGCAGCTTCTCTATGTGTGTTCAAAGGAAAAAGATTGTTACAAATTTGTTTGATGCTAATTGCTAAAGATGCAAAGATTAGTTTTGCTAAACATTTCGTGTCCGTTCTAAGCGACCAATTTGTGTTCTCGTGCTCCTGTGCATCTTGCTTAGATTTTAGTAACAGATGGGGGTTTATTAAATGTTTAGCTTTGTAACCGTGATAAAGCTTTCATATATTTCAAACCTTGCACAGTTTATAAGTAGAATCAAATTTAAAACTATCGCGTTGGTTTGTCCTTTATGAGTTGTGTACGTAAACCATCTTAAACCACCGACACAAAACCAATGGGTCTTTGGGAATTATGCTGCATTAATTAACACTTTTTGCTGTTCAGTGTTCATTGAGCTATATTCTAAAAAGTCTGTCATCTAACACCTCTCAATGACAATTCTTTTCCTACATAGCAACTAAAACACTAATGGAAATATAAAATAGTTTTATCTCTTCAACAAAGTCTTGTGATTTACCAAACTACTAGCTAACTTATAATTTGACTTTTTGTTTCAGTGGTCTGCACCCAGCGCGAGGAGTTACTCCAGTGTATCTTCGGTGCTCCCAAGGCAGAGTCACCTGGAGTTATCCAGGAGGTGCTTTGAGGGTTCTCCTACGACTTGGATCCTCTGGGAGAGAGTTCAGAGGGTGTATAAAGTCTTCTGCGTCCTGGGCTGGTGCTAGAGTCTTCCTGGAAGGTCCCAGGTCCCTGGTCAGGCTGTTGGACCAAGAAGATTCTAGGTAAGTTAAACTTTGTTGTTTACGCTACGCTTAAAATTTAAATTCGTGAGCTTATTGTTTTTACGCACTCTATGGTTTTGTCAATCGTACTAATTCCCGTGATGTAAATTATACCAGCTAAAATTATAGTATTTCCTCATCTTTTTGTTCTTGTTTGAGATTGAATTGGGTTATAAGCTTGCTGTGTATGTTCTATGATTTTGGTACTCTTTAGCCTTAATTTGTCTTTAGGGTAGAGTAGATTCCTCAGGGAAGAGCATTTGGACCGTTGCTTTTCTTTTAGCTATCCACCCTATTTTCCAAGATCCTACTACAAATAATTATAATTGTGTGCAAGTAGTCTCAGTTAGTTGTGCGTATTCTTTTCACAAGGTTTAAGTTTTTGAAAGATTTCTGTCGTGGTTTAGCAAAATATTACTTTAAAATATCTCGATCCCATTTCCTTTCTAACGCTAGATTGACTGTTTCGTGCCTCAATCGCATTCTTCGCCAAGTCATGTTTTATACGACATTCCTCTTTTCGTGTTACAGACAGAAGGTGAGGTGTTTCCACAGTCGTGGAGGCCAAGCCGCTCTCTACGTAGAAGCTACGGGAGCAGCAACGTTTCCGAAACAGGTCGCTGAACTCTTCTACGATCTGGAAGCACTACCAAGGCACAGCGGAGGATACCATGCTTCTGATGGTAAGTGTCTTTATTTGGCTCAATTCCTTCTAGTATTGCATAAATAAGTCAACAAACTTGTTAAACTTTCTTCAGTTATCAATACATCGTAACTATATCCATCCTCTCCGTACCACTCTTCGTGACAGATAATACCACCTATCAACTGGGTACGACAGATCGATTCGAGTCAATTATCTCAATCCTACAAAGGAGAGATTTCATAATCACTGTCATACATATAAGGATCCAGTTGTCGGCCTCTATGCAACGGCGAAGGCTTTTGTAGTGACAGCTGCACTCAACATTCCAGCCAGCTGATCGCTATTACAGATGATTGCTGTCAGGGCTGCCAACAATGTCGCTAAAATTTGAATTATTTTTTCAGAGTGCAGGCCGTGCTCGAAAGAGGAGATGACACATGCGTTCTGCACAAGTGATCTCGGTGAGTTATTGATACTCATTTTATAGTTTAAGATTAATAGGATTCTAATTTTATTTACTCGTGAATATTTTGACGAAGGTGCAACAATGAGTAAAGATTGCTCTGTTTAAATAATGTCAATTTAAACAACGTAACGTTTGAACTTTTACCGTTATTACCGTTATTTTTCTTTTCCTTCATACTTGTTTAGCAAGACACGTACATAGTTTCTATCCTCTTTCCTCTGCCTATTTTTCGCTTCCTTCCTCCTCCTTTCCTTATCCTGACCATCTCCTCCCCCACTCTCTTCGTGTCCAGAGGTCATGCAGGCCGTTGCCCGAGTCCTTATCAGTGTCAACAAAGCTCTTATCACCTCTTTGTCCGCTGCCGCCTCCATAATTCCTTCAGCTTGCGTCAGTCACGTTCAAATCTCTTGTTTGCTCCTGATGTCTGCCCAAGATATTGACGTGGCCACGGAGTAAAATAAGTAAACGAAACCAGTTTTACTATGTTGAGTTACTCCGTGTGATTGATAAACCCAACAAAATGTTAGTGGATAAAGCCTATTAAAGCCTAAAGGATTATCAAAACAAACCCTTCAGGAAATGTTGGTCATTTTGGATTGAAACTTGAAACAACGAATATAGCTTTATGAACAGGTTCCTTGGTTAAGTGTGCTAACATACATTATTTTTTTAGTCTTCTGGGTAGCCAATGTGTTATAGTACTCTTTCAAACATATCTATCAAGAGTACAAGTTCGATCCGAAGTGTCCATCGTGGACCATGGGTAATTGAGTTAATTAATGATGCTTTCGCGATTCAAACAATTGACAAAAGTTCAAAAGTATAACAAAACCCGGTTTTTAACCGTTCCCTTTAAAAAAACGCAAAATATTTAATCACGAGCAACACATGTACTGTAGTAACAACCCTATTAAGCACAGGCAAATTAGCCCAAAAAAGAGTTGTAGCTCCTAAAAATTAAGCTGGAAATGGAGATCCTAAATAGGTTAAAAATGAGTTTGCGACGAATTCTGAAGTGAGCTAAGTGTATGGGAGGCAAAAAACCAGTCCAGAGCAGATTAAAATGATTTCCAGCTTTCCACCAATTTTTTGAAGCTACAAGTCTAATTTACCTGGGCTATATACTATTTTCCCAATGTATAAAATCTTCCCATAAACGAGTTATTCAATAATAATAGTTAATGATTTCCTCTCAATAACATTAAGCCACTACAAATATTTTCCATTTTTGTTTAGAAAATACAAGCATAAGAATTTCGATATGAATTTGTTTATTACTGTATGTGAATCATATCAATATTAATTTACATTTTTTTCCTTTTTTCAGTAACCCGAGGTATCATCCGCTCAGTTGAGAACCAAGAAGACCTCGAAACGTCCTCAGTCACTGTAAAAGTCACGAAACACCTGAGGCACTCTTCTTCCACCATTACGTCAGACGGAGAAGAAGAAGAGGAGGAAAACTCGATTTTTCCAGAAAAGGAAAATCTTGTCCAGTTATCTCTTCCGGGACACTGTGGTGCCAAACATGGGACTGGAGAGTTTGTCTTCATGGCCAGAAGAAAACTAGGAGACCTAGCGATCACGTGTGCTCCTAGACTGGAGGATTGGGTGGAAGTCGTGAGAACTGAGAGTCTTAGTGGGAGTGCGAATTGTGTGTTGAACAGTTAGGCTGTGATAATTCCCGAGAATTGAGTTTTAAGATTAAGAGTAATTTATTTTAAAACTTAGTTACACTAACAACACTTTGAAATATAAAAATTCTTATTATAGCTCCATTAGAGGTCAATTATTTATGACATGAGAAAAGAAGAAATTTTATTCTTTTGTCTTGTATCACAATTAGGTGGATTTTATATTTGTTTACATTATTTTGTTCTTTAACGTTTTGATTAAAAACTATAATCTTAATACTTCTATTGTCAATGAGTTTCTTAAAAATAATAATACTTTTTTTATAATTATAATAATTTTTTTTATAATTATTAAGACCTATATAACTATTCATAATTTGTAAATTCTGAAAGATGCATAAAAATTACATTTTAAAGTGTTGTTGAGTGTTTAACTACTTCTTTAAATTAAAAAAGAAATCTTTTTGATAATTGGTTTTCTATGGTAAAGTGTCATATTTATGATTTCTGTTTTGATGTTTATATTAAGATCGAACAAAACATTCACTGTGGTATTTTTTAATCATTGGGAATTTTCATGCATTTTAAATTGTTTTCCTTTGCTAAATTTATATTCACAGCTAAATAAAGCATTGCAAAATTAAAATTCATAATTCAAAAACCAAACAAAATTTAAATTGTTGCTATTTTGTACAAGAGGTGCTTTAGATTACACTTTGTTATTGTTGTGTTTTTGAGATTCTGTGATAATATAGAATTTTATTATGTTAAGTTCCATGCTGTAAAGTTACTGTAAGTCAAAATGTATATAAAATAGTTACGTTGTATATAAAAGTATGTTGTATAGTTTTTCTAATACTATTTTTTGTTGATAATTGCTAATATGTTTCTGTTTTGAAATGATTTCAAATAGGTACAAAATTAGTTCCAGATTATTACAGTGTTTTGTTTTTAGATGTAAAAGGGCTTATGTAATGAAGGCCTTTTATATCTTCAAGTTTGAGCCTGTAAGAATAATCAAATGAAGTCATTTACATTGCCTCAGGAGCCCACCCAGATTCTCTAATGATGCAGCTGATTTAATGACCTTTAATTACATTTACTCATGTAGCATGTGGGTCATTTATATTCATTATTGGCGACGATGAATTTTATTTCAATAACGTGAACTGAAGTAAAAAATCCTTGGAAAATTATTATAGAACTCTGCAAAACTAATTTTCTCCCAAAATAAAAGAAATAAATATATTTAATCTAAAATAGTATCAAAGTTTTAAGTTTAACATGTTTCAAAATTTCAAAATAAAAAAAGTTTATGTTTATCTATACAGCATACGTTTGTTGAATGTGCTACTAATTATAAGTGTGTAAAGTGTAAATTGTGTATATAAGAGATTTTAAATATGTTACAAATAAAGTTATTTGTGCAATAGCATTTGCATTCTAAAGGAAGTACAGGGGTAGTTCATATATTTTCATTTTTATATCTATTCATGGCAATATTTTCTCATCTTTTGTCTAGCGTTTATTTTTATTTTCTCTTTATTTCTGTATATGTTTAGTATATAAAAACTATTACTTTGTGAATTCCTTGTGCCAAATTGTTACTGTAATTTTTACTTTCTCTTTATCTTTTTACTGAACTAACCCACTAACTTGAATGTATATATGTACAGGCCTGAAGTGCCATTTCTGCTAGCAGAGTTATATTTGTACATTTTGATCTCATTCCAGGAAATTTTGTATGATATTGTATAGAAATTGAATAAAAAGAAATTTTATTTTGAGCCTTACTCTTTCAATACATTTTTTGCCCTTGTCATGTCCAAAACCCCACTAAGAAGACAGAGTATGCTTCAGAAGGTGAATAAACGAATAGGTATATATGAATATAAATAATCTGCAAAGATTGGTTAAATATCAAGTAAGTCAATGCAGCTTTGAGGTAGTAAATTCTATTACTGTACTAAAGAAAGACTTAAGCATAACTTAGAATGACTTTTGTCATACTGCAGCAAAAATAGTACGGTGTGTACACAAAAAAAGCTGCACTTTTTGATTGAGATATGGCACTTTTAGTGGTCATAGCTGATACCAAAAGGGAACTTTTCAGATAGGGAGCCACTTCAAATTCCGTGTAGGACACCAAAATGGCGGTCATTAAAGATGGCCGCCATATGCCTACGTACTGTTGCATAATATTTGTTGTATCTCAGCTTCTAATGGTCTGATTTCAATAATTATTTTTTTATATTAAAGCTGTTTTGTAGAGGAAACTTTTTTATATTCGACATTTAACTGTAAAACCTAAGCGTTCTGCAGAATCTTTATAAAAACTAAAAAAATAATATTTTATGAAAGTTTTGGTCAGTAACATTATAGTTGTGCTAAAAATAATCAGATTTTTATGAAATTCGGTATATACACGTATACCTACATTTATTTTATTCTAAACAAATTTTCGAACCAGCATGACCGGTCCATAAGAACGGCGTATTATGGGGGGTTTTATGGGGTAAAAATCGGGTTTTACCATTTTTGAACCTAAACACATAAAACTTAGCAATTTCTTTCCAAACCATTATTTTATAGAACTTAAAAAAGGAAATAATTGAGTATACTGAAGCACTGTTGTATGCCTAACGGTTACAGAGAAAATTAAAAACAAGCGTAAATTAAAAAAATCACATGTTATTCTTATGGAGTAAATTTACACTGTTGTAGTTTACTTGTTTATGTTGATTAAATCGGTAAAATTTATTTATTTAATCCTATGCTACTAACGTTTGGTCAAAAAACACTATTTACCTTCCCCGTAGCAGCAAACCTAAGCACTCGTTAAATCTAATGTTATTTTTAAATTGGGAATAAATAACTTATGTCTTATTTATGGAAAATTTGAGTGAAAATGTAATCAGACAAGTTGAAATTCGCTTATTCTGCAGGTTTTCTGCAGGGGGGTGTTTCTATTTCATTCCATTTGTTTCATTCTGTTAGAAATGTCAATAGTTAAATTGCTTAAACTATGATTATTGTGGCATTCTCACCCCAATATTACTGACATAAAAAATTATGTTGAACTATTTTCTAGGGCTTTTATTGTAAGCCATAACAGAAGGTTGGATTTGGAAAACTTTTTTCAACACGAAAAATACCAGTGCACCATCATCGCTTTCTTCAAATGACGTTCTTAGATCATGTCAGAAATCTCAGCTATTGAAAATCCTTGAAGAAACCGTTGACCAACCACAATTTGAAGGATTTGGGGATACAATTATTTCCGATGGAGCAGCACTAGTACATGCTATTCCACCAAAAACATCACGCACCTTTGGAGAATACTGCAGTTCGGAATTCAAAAACATAATTTTCAATTATGCTGAGAGGTTCCATGTAAATAGAATACATATTTCATGGTATACTTACTCAAAAGCCTGTCCCAAGAAAGGTGTTCAAAATAAGAGAGGCGTTGGTATTCGTCAGCAAGTGACATAAGGAAATATGCTACCAATCAATTGGAGCGATTTCCTCCGCTACGATCAAAATAAGACAGAAATCTTCAAGTTACTTGGAGAACATGCACTTTCCAATTTTCAAACGACACATATCATTACTGAGATTGATGACATTATTCGTGTGGCTCGGCCTGATGAATCTTCAATTGATGGAGTCAAATGCAAGCAACAGGAAGAAGCTGACGGCAGGACTTTCCACCACGCCAAAGACAGTGTCGAACATGGAGCAAAAATGTCTTTATTTTTACAGCAGATACTGATGGTTGTTTTAGCAATATCTTTTTCCCACATCCTCAAAACTCCTGGACTTCAGGAGATGTGGGTTCTCTTCGGTGCTGGGAAGAGTCAAAGATTTATAAATATTAATGCAATATTTGAGAGAATGGGGATGGACAAAAAAAATTGTCTGTGGTATGGGTGACCACAAAGTCGTTGCATTGAGAGGATTTCATGCATTCACAGGATCAGATGTGACTTCATGATTTGCAATGAAAGGAAAAGTAACAGCTTGGACTGTGTGGAAATCATTTCCTGAAGCTACTACAGCCTTTCATGCAATCTCGCTACCACAAGAGTCAATTTATGACAAGACTTTACAAGTCCTGGAGAAGTTTATCTTCTTGCTTTACTACAAAGATGCTGATGATTTTTTAGTTAATGGCTTATGGTATTAGAAAGTTTCTCTTTACTCAAAGAATCGTGATTGACAAAGTCTACCCCCAACTAGAGAGGCACTAAGGCAGCACTGCCTTCAATCAGCATCAGGGCAGGCCAGGTTTGGGGTCGAGCATGCTCAGTGAAGGAAACACTCCAGGGCCAGACGGATGGGATATGGACCAGGGTTGCTGAGGAGTGGACACCTGTTTGGTCTTCTCTTCCTCCAATTATGTCAGACTGTTTGGTCTTCTCTTCCTCCAATTATGGAAGCCTGCATAGAATTAGTTAAGTGTAGTTCCACTGAATGCCAACAAGATGCTCCTGTTAGAAGGCTAATGTTCCATGCACGCTACTTTGCAATAACTGCTCCGGGTGTCGACTTTATATCGATAAGTAAGATGAATAAGATGACTACGTGATCCGAAATTATAGAGAAGCACTCAATTTACATGTAGACTGTTCCTTGATTTTTATTGTTTTTTTTTATCATAATAGTTTGTTACCTCCTTTTAATTCCTGCTTCATACTGTAGTAAAATATGTGATTTTTCTAAAGCCTAGTATCTCTTTTTTATTTACTTAATGCTTTACGTGTCCCTTTTTCATTTGAAGACGAGTTCTTAGCACAACTTTAATGTTACGGACCAAAACTTTCATAAAATATTATTTTTTAGTTTTTATTTTTATTTTTATTTTTATAAAGCAGAACGCTTAGGTTTTACAGTTAAATGTCGAATATAAAAAAGTTTCCTCTACAAAACAGCTTTAATATAAAAAAATAATTATTGAAATCAGACCATTAGAAGCGGAGATACAACAAATATTTTGCAACAGTACGTGGGCATATGGCGGCCATCTTTAATGGCCGCCATTTTGGTGTCCTACACGGAATTTGAAGTGGCTCCCTATCTGAAAAGTTACCTTTTGGTATCAGCTAGTATTTTAGTGGAATAGCATGTACTAGTGCTGCTCCATCGGAAATAATTGTATCCCCAAATCCTTCAAATTGTGGTTGGTCAACGGTTTCTTCAAGGATTTTCAATAGCTGAGATTTCTGACATGATCTAAGAACGTCATTTGAAGAAAGCGATGATGGTGCACTGGTATTTTTCGTGTTGAAAAAAGTTTTCCAAATCCAACCTTCTGTTATGGCTTACAATAAAAGCCCTAGAAAATAGTTCAACATAATTTTTTATGTCAGTAATATTGGGGTGAGAATGCCACAATAATCATAGTTTAAGCAATTTAACTATTGACATTTCTAACAGAATGAAACAAATGGAATGAAATAGAAACACCCCCCTGCAGAAAACCTGCAGAATAAGCGAATTTCAACTTGTCTGATTACATTTTCATTCAAATTTTCCATAAATAAGACATAAGTTATTTATTCCCAATTTAAAAATAACATTAGATTTAACGAGTGCTTAGGTTTGCTGCTACGGGGAAGGTAAATAGTTTTTTTTTGACCAAACGTTAGTAGCATAGGATTAAATAAATAAATTTTACCAATTTAATTAACATAAACAAGTAAACTACAACAGTGTAAATTTACTCCATAAGAATAACATGTGATTTTTTTAATTTCCGCTTGTTTTTAATTTTCTCTGTAACCGTTAGGCATACAACAGTGCTTCAGTATACTCAATTATTTCTTTTTTTAAGTTCTATAAAATAATGGTTTGGAAAGAAATTGCTAAGTTTTATGTGTTTAGGTTCGAGAATGGTAAAACCCGATTTTTACCCCATAAAACCCCCCATAATACGCCGTTCTTATGGTCCGGTCATGCTGGTTCGAAAATTTGTTTAGAATAAAATAAATGTAGGTATACGTGTATATACCGAATTTCATAAAAATCTGATTATTTTTAGCACAACTATAATGTTACTGACCAAAACTTTCATAAAATATTATTTTTTTAGTTTTTATAAAGATTTTGTAGAACGCTTAGGTTTTACAGTTAAATGTCGAATATAAAAAAGTTTCCTCTACAAAACAGCTTTAATATAAAAAAAATAATTATTGAAATCAGACCATTAGAAGCTGAGATACAACAAATATTGTGCAACAGTACGTGGGCATATGGCGGCCATCTTTAATGGCCGCCATTTTGGTGTCCTACACGGAATTTGAAGTGGCTCCCTATCTGAAAAGTTCCCTTTTGGTATCAGCTATGACCACTGAAAGTGCCATATCTCAATCAAAAAGTGCAGCGTTTTGCCACATATGGCCCTGTACACAACGTACTAAAACAGATGTTTTCAATTAATATGTGAGTTAGAGATCTGAAGTAGCAATTTTTCTCCCTAAAACATGAAAAGCATTGTAGTTTTCTAACTGAGTTTTCTGAAATTATGGTGCAACATGACGAAAATATAGTTCATAACATGGGCAAAAACTGTAATTTCTTACCCCCGAAAAGATGAGTCACTTCACGCCCAAGTGATGAAATACACTACTCTATTTAAATACTTAGACTTTAAAGTATAACATTTACTTGCATAGTATTTACAGATTATGAGAAGGAAGAACAGATGCACTTTTTAATGGATTACATTTACGGAAATTGCTAGAGAAGTAAGGAAATTATGGCCTACCAACAAAAAAGAACTTAAGAAATT